CAAAACAAACCCTCGCCAAATGGGCTCACCATGTAGTTTTCTCTGGGTCCCTGGATGGCACGCGTCCCAGCTTGGAGCTGTTGTTTTGTTTTCTTTTTAAAATTACACTCCTGACCCAACCAAGCAGAGTAGGTAGGAATTGTGAGCACAGAGTAAAGAAAACGGAAAAAGTAAAAACAGAACCCAGTTGCCCCCTCCACAGTGGGTGAGGTCTGTGATAGAGGCGGAAGGGGTTGGGAAATTCAGGATTCGCGTGGGAGAAAAATTTCCTGCCTGGCGAGGAGAGCAAGAACTCTGAAAGAAGGCAGCTCCTTTTTTGAGTGCACCACTGGGATTTGTGCCTTGGTGGATTCTTCATATATTACAGTGAATTTAATTAAATACATTGTGATCCCAATTGAGGGTATTCTAATTAGCTGGGTCAGGAACAAATTATTCTCCCTCCTTCTCCAAATGAAAACATCCACTCTCTTCCGCAGGGAAGGCATGTTCTTGGCTGACTGGCTTGCCCCATGGAGTACTCATGCGCCTCTTAGCACACTCCTTCCCACTGCTTTTTATTAGGCAGGTTCCAAGGGTGGGATTCTGGGGATGAGGCCAGTGCCACTTGGGAGGAAGGGAGAGAGGATCTGACCAACAGTGTTGGGGGTTTACCCACCCAGGGCCTAGGAAATGGCTGAATGGTGTGGAGAAGGTCACAGAGGTCAGGACCCTGCTGCTAGCTTTGGGCCCCTGTTTACTTCCGGTTAGACAACTTAAGAAATAACAAGACAGTTGGAAAATCTGGGGAGAACAGGACTTGTCACATGCAGGTGACATCAGTAGAACCAGGGTGCAAACAGAAGTTTGGGTTAGGATGTTACCTTTTACAAGCAGCTGTTTCCTGGCAACCAAGATACAGTTTACTTGAGGTTTTTTTTTTTTGGAGACAAGAGTTTTACTCCATGCTGGAGTACAGTGGTGCAATCTCAGCTCACTGCAATCTCCACCTCCTGGATTCAAGTGATTCTCCTGCCTCAGCCTCCCAAGTAGCTAGGATCACAGGCATCCACCATTATGCCCAGCTAATTTTTGTGTTTTTCTAGAGACAGGGTTTCACCATGTTGGCCAGGCTTGTTTGAACTCCTGACCTCAGGTGATCTGCCCACGTTGGCCTCCCAAAGCGTTGGGATTACGTGTGTGAGCCACTGTGCCTGGCCTATTCTGGATTTTTAAAAGCGTCTTGGAGAATAAAGTTGGAATACAAGGCAACCTTGGACTTTGGAATGAATCTTTTATGGAAGTTTCTAGGAGAGGACTCTAGGTGTTCACTGTACCAGGACAGGTAGGAGAAGCCATGGCTCCATTTCCTTTTTTCCTTCTATTCTTTTCTCCATGCTTTGTAGTACATGCCTAGTTCCTTGCTAAAACATCTCTCAAAGTGGCAGACGAAGGGATTCATGGAAGTGTAAGAGATTGTAGTTTACCAACATGAGCTAGATAGAGTGTGAGGTGACTTTAGAATATCTTTATCATATCCATTCTTTAAAGTGTGAGTCCCCGGTATGATGTTTATTTCAATCCAGTAGCCTGTGGATTTAAAGACAAAAGACATTTGACATCACATTTCTGTCCAGCTCTTGTGGCTGTGTTGTTCGTCTCTTCTGGCTCAGAGAGTGAAGACTCCAGCCATTTGGAATGGAGAACGCTCACACATCCATATTAAAATTTGATGTTTGAAATTCAGTGCCTTATTGTGAGGAAATCCTGTTTCATAGGGAGATAGCAGGGGATTGGAGGTAAGGCTTTAGTGATTCTTGATCTGATTTCATAGTTTATTCTACCTCCAAAATGTCTTGATGGAATGTATTTCTTTGAATTTCATGGTTTTTGTCTCTGCTATCTTTTATTCACTCCATTTTCATTGAAGCTTTAATGAATATCATTGTTTTGGTCCTGATGACCTAAGACAGCAGTTCGCTCCCTTACCGGTTTCCAGCTCCTCAGTCTCAGGCCAAACTCTTGCTCCCTGGAATATCCTGGTCCTGTTACTGGCTTCTGAGTTCTGAGAGGCCTCATGGCATAGTTTGGGGGAAAGGACGTGGGCTTATTCATCCTCTGTCTGCCTTCTGCCCAGGGTTGTAACCTCCAGAAAGCACGGCCTCACTGCATCCCATCCTTCCAACATCCTCTGCAAGGAACCCCATCGCAGAGAAGGCAGTGAGGTTAAATCATTTTTAAAAAGCAGCTCAAAGGCCAGGCGCAGTGGCTCACGCCTGTAATCCCAGCACTTGAGGAGACTAGGCGGGTGGATCGCTTTTGGTGTGGAGTTCGAGACCAGCCTGGCCAACATGATGAAACCCCGTTTCTACTAAAAATACAAAAATTGGCTGGGTGTGGTTGTGCATGCCTGTATTTGCAGATGCTCAAGAGGCTGAGGCAGGAGAATGGCTTGAACCTGGAAGGTGGAGGTTGCAGTGAGCTGAGATCAAGCCACTGTACTCCAGCCTGGGAAACGGAGCAAGACCCTTTCTTAAAACAAAAACAAAAATAAAAAATTAAATAAAAAGCAGCTAAATTTATCTCCAGAAAAGCCTTTTATCATCAGTTATAATTTCTCTAACAGTTAACAGGGGACTGGCTGGTTCTTCCAGCTCTTTCTGGTTGTGAAATTCTTCTGGCGCTGTTTTTACTTGTAGAAATTTTACTTTGTCCAAGGCTCTGCATTTGAGTGTATGAATCACCTGTTTCAGGGGCAGAAGGGATTGTTCTCTCTTGGTGCCTGTGAAGCTCATCCCATTCTTATGTGCAGGTTGGCAAGATTCCCTGTGGGATACTTTAGTCAGTTTGTGTGATTGAGGCCTTCAGTCTCCCTCCCATGACTTTCTGTGACAATTAGTTGGTGCATTTATGTTTCTTCTTCTGACAAAGTACAAACATGCTTCTGGATTTTTCACATGTGATCAGCGAACACAGGATGTTTGCCTGTCAGTACGTCCTTGATAGGAAGCAATCACAGGGCCACTCTGGCATTTTTAGGATTGCGTGGAGTGCAGGGCATTCTAACCATTCTAGCTTGCCAGTGTCTTGCATTCTAAGCTGGACAAAGATGAGATACCCAAGCAGTGCTAGAAACCATTATCCCGGCATAGACATGAGACAGAAGCAGTATGGGTCAGAAAGGAGGCTAGCAGCATGGGCAGTTTTGAGACATTTGTCATGTGCCCGCCATGGCTCCGTGGGCCAGGCTTGGCTGACTGGGCTGGGGGTTGGGGATAGGTGGTGAGGAGAAAAAAGGAAGGACATGTAATCACAGGTATGCAAAAGCACTCACGTGATCTGAATTCCCTCCTTCAAAAGGATGCTGGGTACATGCTGGAGGAGACAAGCCCTGGGTTTCATCTTTCTCTCCCCCAACTAACTGGGTTACCTTGAGTCAGTCATTTAAGCTTTTGGGGAGTATTTCCATTGCTTCCTGTGTACACAGCAGAATTCTCCCTCTTCCCCTAAAATGAACCTTTGGAAATGAAGGAGATGGCCTTTCTACACCATAAGCACATTCATTCTCTGTTAGTCAAAAGGGTCCGTAGCTTTCATTACCTCCCCAGGAGACTCAGACATTGTGAGTTCTGTTCTTGGGTCATTTTAAAGTCTTCCTAATCACAGAAGCCTGGGGTCCACCAATTGTCTGCACGACCTCTTCTGTTCTTACACCCCAGACACGAATCCTGTCTGTACCTGCCTCCTGGGGGCTCTTAGGCTGCCATGCTCTGGGATCAATGCTGTGTCTACTAAACACAACAGAGGACCAGCATCACTGGTCACTTGGTGTATCAGGTGGTCAGATGTTTCAAATTATATTTGGACCAGGTGACTCTGAGACACTGGCAGGGAACTAGACTGGAGAAATTTATTTTTCTGGCATTTTTTAATCTAGGGGAAAACCTAATTTGGGGTTCTCCTAATAGACTGTGGTTTTAAATACAAAAACTAGAGTTATCTTATGAAAAGGCCAGATACCAGCTCTGGCCTTGTGTTCCTGACCTAGGATCCTTTACAGGCAGGATGGCTAGAGGCTATTACCTGAATCTGGGTTGGATTAATTTTTCCTGTCATAATTGAGTACATTTCTATGGTAATAATTTAGGCTTTGTGGACTATAGTATCTTTGTCACAACTGTTCAACTCTGATGTTTCAAAAGCATCCATAGACAGTATGTAAATTAGTGGACCTGGCTGTGATCCAATAAACTTTTTTTTATAAAAACAAGCAGTGGGTTGAATGTGGCCCATGGGCCATAGTTTGCCTACCCCTGATCTAACTAAAACAAGACACTCTAGAGAACAAAAGGGGAAACCTTTGACCTTACACCAGGAAAGCCGGTGTTACACTGGGAGGGCCCCTGTGATCAGCATTATCAACATTCTGAAAAGCCACATGGCCAGGGCCATTTGGGGAAAACAGGAGTGGGAGTCAGCTTGCTGTCCATCTTCAAAGAACTACTAGAGAAGGGTACTCTAGGGAAAACAAAAACAACCCCTCTAAGGAATCTCACGGTTGAAGACTGTATTAGCACATTACCGTGCTGCTAGGAAGAACTGCCCAGGGAGGCCTCAGGAAACTTACAACAATGATGGAAGGGGAAGCAGGCATGTCCTTCTTCACATCGCAGCAGGAAGGAGAAGTGCTAAGTGACGTGGGGAAAAGCCCCTTATAAAACTATCAGATCTCATGAGAACTCACTATCACAGGAACAGCATGGGAGAATCACCCCCATGATCTAATCACCTTCCATGAGATCCTGCCTCCCAACACGTGGGGATTACAGTTCAGATCACAATCCAAGGGGAGATTATTTGTGGGGACACAGCCAAACAATGTGAAAGACCATCCTGTTTGGCTGTGGAGATGCGTAACCTGGAGGCATGCCTCTGGCTGTCACCAGGATGGTGTGGGCTGGTGCCATTGATGACTGTGCGTGGCTTACCCAAGGCATGTTCTTTTCTTTTGTCCCTCGCAGCACCTGCAGCAGCACGAAAGTGGTGTGGAAGGTGAGAGCTGCTATTACCACTGCGTCCTGTGCAACTACTCCACCAAGGCCAAGCTCAACCTCATCCAGCACGTGCGCTCCATGAAGCACCAGCGAAGTGAGAGCCTGCGAAAGCTGCAGAGGCTGCAGAAGGGCCTTCCGGAGGAGGACGAGGACCTGGGGCAGATCTTCACCATCCGCAGATGCCCCTCCACAGACCCAGGTGAGTGGTCTCATAGGTGTGGGAGGCCCAGGTTAGGCCTGGTTTTCACCTCCTTGAGGCCTCCTGAGGACTTCTGTTTGAGGGAGACATTTCTAATCTAACTGGTCCTCATGCACCTTACTAACCTCATAGGTGAGCGTTGTGTTTCGAAAGGAACACACAGGGATTGTTGCTTTTCTTTCTTCCTTTGGAACTTGGCAGCACTTTTCTTGAAGCAAGGCTCAGTCTTAGGGAAGTTGCAAGCTACTACCCAGGGAGCAGGACAACAGAAGATGCTCTATTCTGAAATTCCTCCGGCACATACTCTAGATTCAATTTATTGGTTCAAGTTGACATAACAAATGCTACATCATGTGTCCTGCTCACTATTAAGAGTAGACAGTTTGTGGCCTCAAAGTCTGCTCTGTAAAAACGAAATTCAGAGAGGAATAAAACAAGTGCTTGTTATAAACATTTCAGTTGTATTTGAGAGCGATTCTTTTGTGGGTTTGTGCTGCTTGCTGCCTCAAGGCGTCAAGACCCAGTGGGAGATCGCCTCGCCTCGTTTCTACCTCCCCCTGTTATCTCCCCGCAGCCACCTTTTCCCCACCTCCCTCCCACCCCCATGACTCCCCTTCATATTGGGACTTCATTGGGTAGAATCACCTCCTTTTTTCTATTTTTTCAATCTTTCAGTCTCTTGCGCTCAACTTAGATGCACAAGATAGTCACTTGCCTCTTTAGAAGCAAAAAAAGCTTGCCTAGAAAAGCTTTCCTTTCATCCTAGGTCCCATGCTCCCTCTACAACAGAATCTTCCAGATTCTTGAGACAACCCTCTGAACTGCTCACCTCTATTCCACATCTCAACCTTCTACAACCCATGTCCTCCTGTCCAAGCCACCCTTAGGAGGGCACTGCTGACCTTTGATTGACACAGCCCAGGACCCGCTGGGCCTGACCATTTCTTTCTGTGGTGTTAGAAATTGTTGCCTAGCCTCTTCTTGAAGCTCCCTTCCCTTCCCTTCCCTTCCCTTCCCTTCCCTTCCCTTCCCTTCCCTTCCCTTCCCTTCCCTTCCCTTGGTTTCCAGCCATTTCCCTCTTGTCCTCTGGCTTCCCTTGACAGTTCTCCAAGCTTGTCTCTGGCTGGCTGGTGGTCCTCCGCCTGCCCCATGTGCCTGGGCACCTGGCACTGTGGCCTGGTTCTTGCCTCCCAGCCTCTTGAGCTTTGATCTCTGGTGCTGCCAGATACTCTTCAGCAGCTTCCTGGACACCACTGGTCCCACCTTCCAGATGCTGAGCTTCACAGACTTGTCATTGATCCCACCTCTTGGCCACCTTACTCACAGCTGTCTATGCCACACTTCTTTATCCATTTAATGGCAGCTTGTCTAACAGCCTGGCCAAGTCAGAGACTCGAGGCCACTCCTGGTCCCTCTGTCTCTCGCAGCGCCTTCTCGGCCATCCAGCCATCATGGTTGTATGCAGTTTTATTCTTAACATAATCAAATTACACATTTTTATAATTTTTAAAGACAAAAACTTATGTAACCCTTATGAAGAATAGCATGGTGCTCTCCCATCCCCTCTTCCAGGGAAAGAGCTTTCAACTCGTAGATGTTTCTTTTGTTACTTATTTCCAAGTTTCTCCTCATGCTTCTATGACTGTTTCTTGTTTTTAAGTTTTAGATGGTACCTCTTGGCTTTGTACCCAGGCAGATGAGGATTTCATCCATGTGCTGTTCCACTAACCCACCCGTGTACACACTTACACCCATACCCCAACCACAAACTCACACAGAGGGCACACACCAGCTCCCGATGCCCCATCACACGCATTCTTGCATATGCACTCGCACGCACACACACATGCTTTTTCTGCATCCCACACATTCCATCCACACTCACACAGCCCACAGACAAAGACACCATACCCACATACATTGTATTCACATACCCACACAAGACATACTGTACCCATCCACATGGATTTTCCCCACATACACTGCACCCCCCACATGCAAACATCACAAACACATAGACTCAGTACCCCTACACACCCCGTACACACTGACACGCATCCCACATGCACCCTCACTCTACCCACAGATAGGCACTGCCCTGCACACTCCTGCATTCCCCCTCCCCCCACACCACTTGAACTTGCTTCTACTCCCCAGGCCCCCTCCACCCCCAGTCCTTCCTCCCTCCACCTTCCATTATGATTAAATAATAATTTGGGATTATATTAATATTCAGTGTTTTCATTATTATAACTATAAATATGAATTGCAGCTGAGCCATGTAGAGTTTTATAATTTCATTTACCTTCTTGTACAACTTATTGTCTTCTCTGGTTTTGTAGGTACCTATAATTAATTCATGGCGAACCTTTCTCTGCCAGAAGTAGACGTATCCTAATCTCTAAATGCTCTGCTCTATCAGTTCTTCTGTCAGCTTCATTTCCTCCTGGAGGTATCCCTCCTAAGCCCTCCAAAGCCCTCTGCCCACCTGCTCCTCTCCAGATCATCTGGCTGCTCCTTCGCTGCCTCCTCATCTAAATGAAACAGCAATTCCCAAATGACGGGATAGACCACAACTCAAGAATTTTTCTCCCCGCTAGAGTGGTTGAGGTTTCGATAGTCCGTGTGAATCGTTTGTTCAGGAAAGGGCTGTTGGGTACTTTCTGTCACTTGAAGGTCACTTCAAGACAGTCCCTTGCCCTGTGTTTTTCACATGCCTCTTCTGGTTAAAGTTGAAATGCCTTAATTGGTGGAGCTTCTGCTTTGCCTCCGATCCCATCTGTCTGCATGGGGATACTCTCAGGAGTGAGGGATGGGGACGGGCCAGAGGCTGAGGCCATTGGGCTGTTGGGGAGCCCGGGCCCCATCCAGGGATTGTGGCCTCTGTTTGATCTGCTGCTCTGCATTAGTGCACTGTTAAGTCATTCTCTGAATTCTTCTCTTTCTACCAACACACCTAGACCTGTTTCTTGTTCAGGGTTTGTGCTTTGTTTGGGGTATTTTTTTGCAGGGGGATGGGGGGCAGCTCTGCATACATCTTTGTTTTAACCGTTTGTTAAAAGCTGGCCCGTTTTACTCCTCAATTCTTTTTTTCACTCTGCTCAGAATCGCTTTTTTCTGAATGAGGTGCCCCAAACTAAACAGTTTCCAGCTGCTGTTTCACCCAGAGTCTGTGGCCTGGAACAGGCAGTTCCCTGTTTTGGAATGTGGTACTTCCGTGGGTGCAGTCCGGCCCCAGTCCCTTCGAGGTTCCTCTCATTTAGTGCGTGCTAGGGGTGTTTTCCACCCCGAGGAGTGTATGAGCAGCCTCAGTGGAGGCGATAGACTTCCCTTCCATATTTCAAGGTCCTTTTGGATTGGCTTTGACCTGGAGTCATGTTTTGGGTCTCTCCCCTACTCTCTCCCCACACCACACCCCCGCCCTCTCCCCGACAGGCTCCAGTTCAGTCCATACTTGACTGATGACAGAGGGACAAAGTATTAGGTATTATTCATATTGACGTTAACAAGAACTTGGTTCTGTTTTAGGAACCACTTTAAGAAAACTCATCTTAAAATACACACTCGCTCTCCCCGGGGATCGGCTCTTCGGAACTTGCGGGGATGTCTTCGAGAGAAGGGACATGATGGACCTGGTAGAATTGAGACGTTGACGGTGGTCAGCTTCAAATTCTGTAAACAGCGGCTTTATAGACTGTTCTCAACTCTGTCCTCTATAACACAAGGGCTGGGACACGATTTTCCAGCTAGAAACGTCATCTGTGGCAGCAGGAGCATTAGAAAGTCTTGGAGCACCTTTTAGGAGCCACACCCGCTCTGACCGGAAGCCGCCCCTCCGTGGCCATGCTGTCTGGAGTTGGCAGTTTCGGCTTCCTGTCATCCTGTTCAGGGGTGACATTCCTTCTCATTTCTTCTTCTCCTCTGTTGTCCACATGCCACAAAATATTACACAGAACCCTCAGAACCAACTCCTTGTCCTTGCTGAGTTCTGGACCTCACCTCCTATGGGTATCTGGATATCTGCTGCTAAGGCAGGAGGGGGGAACTCCACAATAGTTTCTGCCCTGTGGATCGCAAAAATATTATCTGTTCCCAGTTCACCTGTTATTGGAGTCAGTTGCTTGCCAGGCAGTCCAGTTCGTCATGTAGGCTGCTAAGCCATGTGAACCTGTAGGTCTGGAGGACAGAGTCAAGGTAGAAGAAATTGCAAAAGTTTCCTCCATCCCTTCAGAATTTTCTGGTAGCAACCAGGATCTATATCTGCCATGACTGGCCACGTAACCCTGTGACAGGCCTCGTGGGTTAAAGCTGAAATGTCCGTTTTTTAAGGACGTACATACATCTAAGTCCTGCCCTGCACCAGAGTGCAGAGCCTTGGCTGCCCCCTGTGTGCTAATAGTTAGGCTGCTGTGCACACGTGACCCTGCTATGGCGGAACCCTGCCCTTAGGTCAGCAGGCAGGCCAAGTCCTGTGTTAAATTGTCTTTGGTTAGTGTGATGGTCTTCATCGTTACACTTTCCCACCCTTACCCCACAATACACACAAGCACGCATGCCTGGTGGGCCTTCCTGTTTTAAAAATGGCTTGGAAATATATCTCTCAAAGATGGTAACTAACCACATGAGATTCTTCTTCCAACCCCCCACAATTTATTGGCTTGAGTATTTTTCCTTAAGAACAGGTAGTCTCTGGAATTGGTTGGGATTTGGTCTCAGCATTTCTCTTTCCTTATTTCCTTATCTTCTCTTCTTTTTCTTTTTCTTTTTCTTTTCTTCCCTCCCTCCCTCCCTCCCTCCCTCCCTCCCTCCCTCCCTCCCTCCCTCCCTCCCTCTCTCTCTCTCTCTCTCTCTCTCTCTCTCTCTCTCTCTCTCTCTCTCTCTCTTTCTCTCTCTGTCTCTCTCTCTCTCTCTCTCTCCTCTTTCTTTCTTTTCCTTTTTGAGACGGAGTCTTGCTCTGTCACCCAGGCTGGAGTGCAGTGGTGCAGTCTCAGCTCACTGCA